AAACAGACATCGCTCACAAAGCTCTGTCCTTAAAGGCCCCGGGGTCCCCAAGGAAGTGCAGAAGGGTTAGGGTCCCAGGACTCTCCCAGGACTGATCCAGGACTGTCCCAGGACTGTTCCAGGACTGTTCCAGGACTGTCCCAGGACTGTCCCAGGACTATCCGAGAATGTCGAGGTAGACGGGCGGGTTCTTGACGAGGGCGAGGAGGCGGGTGTGGATGTCCTTGATGATGATCCTCTGTTGGGGCTCACGGTGCCAGCAGCCCTGCATCAGGGCGTAGACCTCCTTGGGGCAGGTGCGGGGCCGCTCCAGCTCCCGGCCCTGTGTGATGCATTCGATGGCCTGTGGGAGAAACAAGAGTCAAAACCAGTGTAAAAATGTAAAGTCCTGTTAGAACGTGATGTTCTGGAGAAGGTCCTCTACATGTTCTCAGCTTCTCTGATTCTTCACACCCGAACTACAGACGACTGCAGGTCACTGGACAAAAACAAGATCTACTTAAGTTCAAATTACTTAAATTAAAAACATTTGACTTTAATTGACTCGATTCAACTTGACAAGTGAAATCATCGACCAACAAGAACAAGTGTTTTTCTTCATTCAAGCAACATTTGATTTTATTTCTTATTTTAAGTACAAGAAGTTGTTTTCTTATTTTAAGTGTAGTCAGATGTATTTCCATATTTTAAGTACAAAAAGTCTTGTTCTGCTGCAGATCATTTTACTTTTCAAGTGAAATTTACTCAAATCATGATCAAATTTTCTTAATTCAAGTCGTCTGAACTCTGATAGATTTTGGGTTTTTTGCAGTGTGCAGTGACCAGCAGATTTGGCCCAAACCCCAACCTGGACCCCGACCTGGACCCCGACCTGGACCCCGACCTGGACCCCGACCTGGACCCCGACCTGGACCCCGGCCTGGACCCCGGCCTGGACCCCGACCTAGACCCCAGCCTGGACCCCGACCTAGACCCCGACCTGGACCCTGACCTGGACCCCGGCCTGGACCCCGGCCTGGACCCCGACCTAGACCCCAGTCTGGACCCCGGTCCCTTTGAGTGACGCGTGTGAAACGGAGCAGCTGATTGGTCGCTCATCATTAGAGTAAAATCAGTTCAGAGATTCAGTGATTCTGTTGAAATTCTTCATATTTTTCAGTCCTGTGATTTGTTTCTGATTTATTTTTTCCTGCAGTCAGATTTGTTTTGATGATTGTTTCTATGAGAGTCTCTGATTGGCTAATCCACCTGTCAATCACGATCATCAGTTTCAGTTTCATTAAGGACGGAAGAGTTTATTCTGGAGATTTTCCCTCAGGTTTTTCTAACATGTTGAAAAGGTTTGAATCTGCAGAATGTTTCCCAGAAATATAAACGAGGAGGTTTGAGGCTTCACTTTTACTCGAGTCAAGAGTCTGAGAGTCAATGCAATTAAGATCGAGCGGGAGGAAAGTGATCCAGCTCCCACAGACCAGAGCGTCCAGAGTCCAGAGCGTCCACAGACCAGAGCGTCCACACCAGCGTCCCAGTCCAGAGCGTCCAGAGCGTCCAGAGCGTCCACAGACCAGAGCGTCCCAGACCAGACCAGAGCCCAGAGAGCGTCCACAGACCAGAGCGTCCAGACCAGAGTCCAGAGCGTCCAGAGTCCAGAGCGTCCACAGAGTCCAGAGCGTCCACAGACCAGAGCGTCCAGAGTCCAGAGCGTCCAGAGTCCAGAGCGTCCACAGACCAGAGCGTCCACAGACCAGAGCGTCCACAGTCCAGAGCGTCCAGAGACCAGAGCGTCCACAGACCAGAGAGTCCAGAGCGTCCACAGTCCACAGTCCAGAGCGTCCAGGCAGAGCGTCCACAGACCAGAGCGTCCACGCAGAGCGTCCACAGACCAGAGCGTCCAGACAGACCAGAGCGTCCAGAGTCCAGAGCGTCCAGACAGACCAGAGCGTCCACAGACCAGAGCGTCCACAGTCCAGAGCGTCCACAGACCAGAGCGTCCAGACCAGAGCAGTCCACCAGGTCCAGAGCGTCCACAGACCAGAGCAGTCCAGACCCAGACCAGAGCGTCCACAGAGTCCAGAGCGTCCACAGACCAGAGCGTCCACAGACCAGAGCGTCCAGAGTCCCAGTCCAGAGCGTCCACAGACCAGAGCGTCCAGCACTGAGGTGGTCTGTGGTCCTTGAGCAGAGTCGGGCTGTGAAAGGTCAGACCGGTCGCCTCAATCACACGAGCATCGATCTGAGGAGCAACAACATCTGTTCATCTCCAGCTCCAACAACAACAAGAGCCTGAGTCCATCTGTGACCCACACCAAATATCTGAACCCCTCACCAGAAGCTCCTGCTCCTGGGGGCAAAACACGGACCACAACTTATGAGTGGAGAAGAAATTCACTGAATAAAGAATTGAACTGGAGATAAAACGATGTATTTGGTGACGTCCTGTCCTCAGTTTTATAAACACTCCCACATCCTGCCCACAAATCTAAAGAGAGACACAGAGACACCAACGGATTTAAACACACACTTCATCTGCTCGTGTCTTTTCTGTCGTCTGGTTTGTGGTTCCTCCACAGACACAAACACCGTCCAGACTTGATGATAACTGTTGTGCAGCGGCTGGAGAATCGTCTCGTCACACTTAAAGTCGGCGACACTGAGCAAATGTTTGACTTTTCTGAGACGATTTTTCACTCGTGCGACTGTTTTCAGGATCAGGACGAGTTTTTTAGTAACTTGGGGAAACGAGAACCAGTTAGTCCCTCACGACCGACTCCAGATCAGAAATCAGAAGAAAAAGAAAATCAAACCTTTTCAAAATCCAGTCGCCTCTCGTGAGGGTTTCACTGTCGAAGTCGTTCAGTGTGAAAACATGAACCGTGAACTTTTAAACCCTGAGATTTGGTCGAACAGTTTAGGTGAGACTGAGCGAAACCATCGAAGGAGAAGGAGGAAGAAGACAAAAGCTCAGCCCACTCCCACATCCTGCTCATAAATCCAAAGAGACGTGGATCAAAGTCCTGAGACACGACTGGACCAGGACCAGGACCAGGACCAGGACCAGGAGGACGACACGACGAGCCTGAAGCACCAGCAGCATTTGAACAACAACAAACCACAAACAGGATCCAGGAAACAAACTCAGTCACATTTAACATCAGAACAAAACAAACACTTAGTTCAGGATTAAGATTCACTCTGAACAGTGTTTGGATTTAACGTGTTATAAAAGTAACGAGTTCCTGTGCTGCGTTGCAGAAATGTAAAGAATTAAAGGGAAAAACTGTCAAATTTTACTCGTAAAAATGTGAGTAACGTTTATGCGCGTCACATTTGCATTTTTAACTTGGATTGAAGTGGTGGATTTTTAGTTTTTTCTTCAAACAAATTTGCTAAAATCCCGGTGATATCAGCAGCGGTGAAACTCCATCGTTACGGTTCCGAGTGTCGGGTCGGTGTTACGGCTCCAGGTTTTAGCTCTAATTTGTTTGTGTGATTTTTGGTCGACGTCTCGTGATTCCTGCTGCAGGAGCTCTGGTCTGTGATTGGTGGAGCAGGTCGACGCCCACCTCACCTGCAGCCACGCCCCCTGTTTAAGGAGACGACCTGCACCTGTTCGGGGGCTGGTCTCGGTGACCAGTCTGACATTTACTGTTTGTTTAGTTTAGTTTAGTTTAGTTTAGTGCCTTTTTTGATTTGGTCACTTGATTCTGTTTGTGAGTTTATGTGGTTTAATTTGGGGAACTCGTGTTTAGTTTTGTGTGTGTCCCTTAATTTTACCACTTGTTATTGTGTGAACCTGCGTGACGCTTTTGTGGCACAAAACCTGTTGTCTGTTGTTTTGTTTCTTAGTTTAGGTTATTTTCTGTATATTTTAGTTTTTCGTTAATTTACCTTTACCTTCCTGTTAATTAAACATTATTTAATTTATTCCATTTTACATCTTGGTTTTTTATTTTTTGTTACTTCCCTCACCCCAAACGAGCCGAGTCGTAACAGTCGGGCCGAAGGTGAAGCCCACGTAGACCGTCAGGTGACCGCGGGCGAAAGGACCGACGCAGAACTCCACGCTCCACGAGACGAAGAACAACTGACGCCCGATCGAGCTTTAAGGAAACACTGCTCCACGGACTCAGGGTCCAAGTCCAAGATTAGTCCTGGTTTAGTCCTGGTTTAGTCCTGGTTCAGCTCTGATTTAGACCTGGTTAATCATTAACATTAAGAATTTTGTGTTTACGTGGACTTTTTAAAGAGGAATTCAGTTTTATTCAGAGTTTAATTATTTTTATTCAGATTTAAATCTCTCATGGAATCGTGGTAAATGACAAAAATGTTCTTTAGAGGTTCTTGTTTTGTTGTTGAACAGCACGGGTCAGATGACCTGATGAAGTTCAGGTCAGTCGGGTCTTTCTGGTCGCACGGTCGTTTGCTTTTTATTTAGAACGTGTTATTAGCATTTAGAATTTCCTGGTAGTTTTTATGATCTGGTGGTGTGGAGCAGCTGTGAGTTTGGAGGAGCTGCTGTGAGTTTGGAGGAGCTGCTGTGAGTTTGGAGGAGCTGCTGTGAGTTTGGAGGAGCTGCTGTGAGTTTGGAGGAGCTGCTGCTGTGAGTTTGGAGGAGCTGCTGTGAGTTTGGAGGAGCTGCTGCTGTGAGTTTGGAGGAGCTGCTGTGAGTTTGGAGGAGCTGCTGTGAGTTTGGAGCTGCTGAGCTGTGAGTTTGGAGGAGCTGCTGTGAGTTTGGAGAGCTGCTGTGAGTTTGGAGGAGCTGCTGCTGTGAGTTTGGAGGAGCTGCTGCTGTGAGTTTGGAGGAGCTGCTGTGAGTTTGGAGGAGCTGCTGCTGTGAGTTTGGAGGAGCTGCTGTGAGTTTGGAGGAGCTGCTGTGAGTTTGGAGGAGCTGCTGTGAGTTTGGAGGAGCTGCTGTGAGAACCTGAGCTGAGCCTTGAGCCGAATTATAGGCAACAACCGAGTGAAGAAAAAGCTTGAGTTTCAAAAATCAATCAAACCTCCTGAAAAAGTCCAACGAGGCCGATCTGCGTTCATCTATAATTCATCCCTGAGTGTTTTTTCTCTGAAGCTCTTAAATCCTGCGCCTCCTGTGGGCAGCGCCGAGCTCCCGGCAAAAACAAAGACAAAATGGATTTAAAAGTGAAATGATTTACGTTTGTGTTTGTCGAGTTTCAGGATTCACAGATCTGAACAAAGTCTGGATCTGGGTTTGTGGTTTCACTCTCCTCATACTCCTGCTTCTCCTGGTCCTGGTCCCAGTCCAGTCCCTGGTACCAGTCCTGGTACCAGTCCTGGTCCTGGTCCTGGTCCTGGTTCTGGTTCTGGTCCCAGTGTTGCTCCTGGTTCCAGTCCTGGTCCTGATTCTTGCGTTAGTCTTGGTTCCAGTCCTGAACTTGCTCCCGGGCCGGATCCCTGGTCCTAGTCCTGGCCTCAGTCCCAGTAATGTCCCTTGTCGTGGTCTCAGTCTGGTCCCGGTCTGGTCCCGGTCCTCTCCCTGGTTCCAGTCCTTGTCTTGTCTCGGTCTTATTCCATGTCTGGTCCTGGTTTGGTCTCGGTCTCGGTCCTGGTCTCGGTCCTGGTCTCGGTCCTGGTCCCGGTCTCGGTCTCTCACCTCGCTGTTGGACAGTTGGTACCAGGGCTGTTTGCCGTAGGTGAAGTCAGTCTGGTCTTGGTCTCGGTCCTGGTCTCGGTCCTGGTCTCAGTCCTGGTCTCAGTCCTGGTCTTGGTCTCGGTCCTGGTCCTGGTCTCGGTCCTGGTCCCGGTCTCGGTCTCTCACCTCGCTGTTGGACAGTTGGTCCCAGGGCTGTTTCCCGTAGGTGAAGTCAGTCTGGTCCTGGTTTGGTCCTGGTTTGGTCCTGGTCCTGGTCTCAGTCCCGGTCTTGGTCCCGGTCTCGGTCTCTCACCTCGCTGTTGGACAGTTGGTACCAGGGCTGTTTGCCGTAGGTGAAGATCTCCCACAGAACGACCCCGAAGCTCCAGATGTCGCTCTCTGTGGTGAACTTCCTGTACATGATGCTTTCAGGAGGCATCCAGCGAATGGGCAACATGGTGCGTCCACCCACCTGCCAGAGGACAGAGGACAAGAGGACAGAGGACACAGAGGACACAGAGGACAGAGGACAGAGGACAGAGGACACAGAGGACAGAGGACACAGAGGACACAGAGGACACAGAGGACAGAGGACACAGAGGACACAGAGGACAGAGGACACAGAGGACAGAGGACACAGAGGACAAGAGGACACAGAGGACAGAGGACACAGAGGACACAGAGGAGAGGACACAGAGGACACAGAGGACACAGAGGACACAGAGGACACAGAGGACAGAGGACACAGAGGACACAGAGGACACAGAGGACAGAGGACACAGAGGACACAGAGGACACAGAGGACACAGAGGACAGAGGACACAGAGGACAGAGGACACAGAGGACACAGAGGACAGAGGACACAGAGGACACAGAGGACACAGAGGACAGAGGACAGAGGACACAGAGGACACAGAGGACACAGAGGACACAGAGGACAGAGGACACAGAGGACAGAGGACACAGAGGACACAGAGGACACAGAGGACACAGGGAGGACACAGAGGACAACGAGGACACAGAGGACACAGAGGACACAGAGGAGAGGAGGACACAGAGGACACAGAGGACACAGAGGACACAGAGGACAGAGGACACAGAGGACACAGAGGACACAGAGGACACAGAGGACACAGAGGACACAGAGGACACAGAGGACACAGAGGACAGAGGACACAGAGGACACAGAGGAGAGGACACAGAGGACACAGAGGACACAGAGGACACAGAGGACACAGAGGACACAGAGGACACAGAGGACACAGAGGACACAGAGGACACAGAGGACACAGAGGAGAGGACACAGAGGACAGAGGACACAGAGGACACAGAAGACAAGAGGACACAGAGGACACAGAGGACAGAGGACAAGAGGACAAGAGGACAGAGGACACAGAGGACAGAGGACACAGAGGACAGAGGACACAGAGGAGACACAGTTAGCACTGGTGGTCGTGTGACGTCACCACAGCGTCCGTCTCCAGTCAAATGAAGCTCATCGAGGCGGCGCTTACACGAGCTAATTTATCCACATTTTTACAATGAAAATGTTTTTTTCTGTTTGGACGACTGAAGATTTTACACAATAAAACTGAAAATTACACGAATCGAACCAACGTCGACCGACTCAGGATTATTAAAGAACCCAAAGATCTAAAGATCTAAAGATCTAACGTTCTAAAGATCTAAAGTTCTAAAGTTCTAAAGTTGTGTCCTGGTCACACACAGACCTGGAGTTTAACACATAAAACCTCTACACACACTGAATCTGATAGACCTGGTTTAGAGCAAAACTAAACTCTCTGTTCCACCTTGTGATGTCATCATGTGGTGATACAGGAAGTGCTCCACTGTGTTTTTAAACTCCACCCTTCACCTTCACTAGAATCACCTGGATCATTTGAGTCGTGGAGTCGTTGATCTCGACTGAACTAAAGGGAAAAGGAGTTGTTCACTTGATGACATCACGAGGTGGAGCGGCGCGTCTGGAGCGTGTGCACAGAGTCGTGTGCACAGGGTCGTGTGTACAGGGTCGTGTGCACAGAGTCGTGTGCACAGGGTCGTGTGTACAGGGTCATGTGCACAGGGTCATGTGCACAGGGTCGTGTGTACAGGGTCATGTGCACAGGGTCGTGTGTACAGGGTGGTGTGTGTAGAGTCGTGTGCGCAGGGTCGTGTGTACAGAGTCGTGTGCGCAGAGTCGTGTGCGCAGAGTCGTGTGTACAGAGTCGTGTCGTGTGCGCAGGGTGGTGTGCGCAGAGTCGTGTGCGCAGGGTGGTGTGCGCAGGGTGGTGTGTGCAGGGTCGTGTGCGCAGGGTGGTGTGCGCAGGGTCGTGTGCGCAGGGTGGTGTGTGCAGGGTCGTGTGTGCGCAGGGTGGTGTGCGCAGTCGTGTGCGCAGGTGGTGTGCGCAGGTGGTGTGCGCAGGGTGGTGTGCGCAGAGTCGTGTGCGCAGAGTCGTGTGCGCAGGGTGGTGTGCGCAGAGTCGTGTGTACAGAGTCGTGTGCGCAGGGTGGTGTGCGCAGAGTCGTGTGCGCAGGGTGGTGTGCGTAGGGTGGTGTGCGCAGGGTGGTGTGCGCAGGGTGGTGTGCGCAGGGTCGTGTGCACAGAGTCGTGTGTACAGAGTCGTGTGCGCAGAGTGGTGTGCGCAGAGTCGTGTGTACAGAGTCGTGTGTACAGAGTCGTGTGCACAGGGTGGTGTTGTACAGAGTCGTGTGCGCAGAGTGGTGTGCGCAGAGTCGTGTGTACAGAGTCGTGTGTACAGAGTCGTGTGTACAGAGTCGTGTGCACAGGGTCGTGTGTACAGAGTCGTGTGCGCATGGTCATGTGCGCAGGGTGGTGTGCGCAGGGTGGTGTGTACAGAGTCGTGTGTACAGAGTCGTGTGCGCAGGGTGGTGTGTACAGAGTCGTGTGCGCAGAGTCGTGTGCGCAGAGTCGTGTGTGCAGGGTGGTGTGCGCAGGGTGGTGTGCGCAGGGTGGTGTGCGCAGAGTCGTGTGCGCAGGGTGGTGTGTGCAGAGTCGTGTGCGCAGGGTGGTGTGCGCAGGGTGGTGTGTGCAGAGTCGTGTGCACAGAGTCGTGTGTACAGAGTCGTGTGCACAGGGTGGTGTGCGCAGAGTCGTGTGCACAGAGTCGTGTGTGCAGAGTCGTGTGTGCAGAGTCGTGTGCGCAGAGTCGTGTGTACAGAGTCGTGTGTACAGAGTCGTGTGTACAGGGTCGTGTGTGCAGAGTCGTGTGTACAGAGTCGTGTGTACAGGGTGGTGTGCGCAGAGTCGTGTGTACAGAGTCATGTGCGCAGAGTCGTGTGTACAGAGTCGTGTGCGCAGGGTCGTGTGTACAGAGTCGTGTGTACAGAGTCGTGTGTGCAGAGTCGTGTGTGCAGAGTCGTGTGTACAGAGTCGTGTGCACAGAGTCGTGTGCGCAGAGTCGTGTGTACAGAGTCGTGTGCACAGAGTCGTGTGCACAGAGTCGTGTGTACAGAGTCGTGTGTACAGAGTCATGTGTACAGGGTCGTGTGTACAGAGTCGTGTGCACAGAGTCGTGTGTACAGAGTCGTGTGTACAGAGTCGTGTGCGCAGAGTCGTGTGTACAGAGTCGTGTGCGTACAGAGTCGTGTGTACAGAGTCGTGTGCACAGAGTTGTGTGTACAGAGTCGTGTGAAAGTCTCACTCTGTAGTAGTCGGTGCTGTAAATGTCTCTGGACATGCCGAAGTCTCCGATCTTGACGACGAGGCCTTCGCCCACCAGGCAGTTCCTCGTGGCCAGGTCCCGGTGGACGAAGTGCAGCGAGGCCAGATACACCATCCCCGAGGCGATCTGCCCCGCGATGTGCAGCATCTGCGGCACCGTCAGCTCGCCCACCGCCACCTCGCCCACCGCCACCGCCAGCTTCGACTCGTCCAGCAAACGAGCGTCCGGACCGTGAGCTCTGCAACGCACACGTGAACACACACACACGTGAACACACACACACACATGAACACACACACATGAACACACACACACGTGAACACACACACACGTGAACACACACACACGTGAACACACACACACGTGAACACACACACACACACACACACATGAACACACACACACACGTGACACACACACACACACACACACACGTGAACACACACACACGTGAACACACACACACGTGAACACACACACACACGTGAACACACACACACACGTGAACACACACACACACGTGAACACACACACACGTGAACACACACACACGTGAACACACACACACGTGAAACACACACACACGTGAACACACACACACATGACACACACACACATGACACACACACACATGAACACACACACACATGAACACACACACACACATGAACACACACACATGAACACACACACACATGAAACACACACACACATGAACACACACACACACATGACACACACACACACATGAACACACACACACATGACACACACACACACACATGAACACACACACATGAACACACACACACATGAACACACACACACATGAACACACACACACACATGAACACACACACACACATGAACACACACACACATGAACACACACACACACACACACACACATGACACACACACATGAACACACACACACATGACACACACACACATGAACACACACACACACATGAACACACACACACACATGAACACACACATGTGAACACACACACACACACATGAACACACACACATGTGAACACACACAGATACACACACACAGTAGAGGGGGGGTTAGTTCTCTCGGTTGGACTGTATAAAGAAGTGGACTAAGGCTGCGTTCACACTGCACCTGAAGTGACTCAAATCTGATTTTTTGTCTCTATGTTCCTGTATCTGATCTTTTAATGTCTGAACCACACAGATGTGATGTTTTCACATGTGACCAGGACACTTGGATCTGTGCTCCTGAAACTGATCCATATCTGATCTTTAACATGTGACTTGAGTGTGAACGGTCAGGTCACATTCATCCACCTACACGTCATCAACAAGACACAAACGTCACTATTCTGCGTCCATGTTTTGTTCAACTTGTGTAAACACAGAGACGCTCGCTGCGGTTGACGTCGTCGTGTCTCCAGTGTCACATGTGGGACACTTTTGGACCGTTTAATGTTCACACTGGAGTCACATACAAGTCACATTTAACTGGAAATGTGAACGACCTCGAAAAAACATCAGATTTTGCAAAAAAATCAGAATTGAGCGTTAAACCTGCAGACTGAACGGAGACTTAGAGCTGTGGGAACATAGAGCTGTGGGAACATAGAGCTGTGGGAACATAGAGCTGTGGGAACATAGAGCTGTGACCTGTTTCCGTCCTCGTGGACACAGGCCTGGTCCCTGTGGAACTGTCAGTTAAAAAGACTGAAGTTGATTATCGACCATTTGAACTGATTGGATTCTGAGTGAATTAGAAAGAGATTAACGACACGACTGAGACACCGAGTCATGAAGCTGCACCACGGAACTGAGCTGTCCCACGTGTGTCCCACGTCCACCTCACGTCCACCTCACGTGTGTGTCTCGTGTGTGTCTTGTGTGTCTCGTGTGTGTCTCGTGTGTCTCTCGTGTGTGTCTCGTGTCGTGTCTCGTGTGTGTCTCGTCTGTGTGTCTGTGTCTCGTGTGTCGTGTGTCTCGTGTGTGTCTCGTGTGTCTCGTGTGTCTCGTGTTCGTCTCGTGTGTGTCTCGTGTGTCTCGTGTGTCTCGTGTGTGTCTCGTGTGTGTCTCGTGTGTGTCGTCGTGTGTCTCGTGTGTGTCTCGTGTGTGTCTCGTGTGTGTCTCGTGTGTCTCGTGTGTCTCGTGTGTGTCTCGTGTGTGTCTCGTGTGTCTCGTGTGTCTCGTGTCGTGTGTCGTGTGTCTCGTGTGCGTCTCGTGTGCGTCTCGTGTGTCTCGTGTGTCTCGTGTGTCTCGTGTGTCTCGTGTGTGTCTCGTGTGTGTCTCGTGTGTCTCGTGTCGTCTCGTGTGTCTCGTGTGTCTCGTGTGTGTCTCGTGTGTCTCGTGTTCTCGTGTCGTTGCGTCTCGTGTGCGTCTCGTGTGCGTCTCGTGTGTGTCTCGTGTGTCTCGTGTGTCTCGTGTGTCTCGTGTGTGTTCTCGTGTGTCTCGTCTCGTGTGCGTCTCGTGTGTCGTCGTGTGTCTCGTGTCTCGTGTGCGTCTGCGTGTGTCTCGTCTCGTCTGTGTGCGTCTCGTGTGTGTGTCTCGTGTGTGTGCGTCGTGTCGTCTCGTGTGCGTCTCGTGTGCGTCTCGTGTGTCTCGTGTGTCGTCTGTGTGTGTGTCTCGTGTGTGTCTTGTGTGTCTCGTGTGTGTCGTGTGTGTGTGTCTCGTGTGTGTCTCGTGTGTCTCGTCGTGTGTCTCGTGTGTCTCGTGTGTCTCGTGTGTCTCGTGTGTCTCGTGTGTCTCGTGTGTCTCGTGCGTCTCGTGTGTGTCTCGTGTGTCTCGTGTGCGTCTCGTGTGTCTCGTGTGTCTGTGTCTCTGTGTGTGTCTCGTGTCTCATGTGTCTCGTGTGTGTCTTGTGTGTCTCGTGTGTGTCTCGTGTGCGTCTCGTGTGTGTCTTGTGTGTGTCTTGTCCGTCTCACGTGCGTCTCACTGTGGGCGGGACTAATCAGATTTGGACGTGCAGGACAAAGTGTCTCCATCACGACCATATTAACCCACTCACATGTGCTCAGCGGCAGGTGGCTGGGCAGACAGGAGAGCAGCTGTGGGAGGAGGCTCACAGATACTCGAGTACTTCGAGCTCCTACTGATACAAGAGTAAAGTTTCATAGAAACAGAAGGACGTGGAGACACGAGGCACGGCTCAGGAGAGATCGACCCATGAGGGTTTTCTGAGGCCGATACCGATATCCAGAGAAATGGAATGCAGATCAGCTCTGCCGATATTTTTGGGCTGAATTTGATTCTTTTCACTTCAGCCTGAACTCGTCTCGTTCACACAGAGTCACAGTTTGTGCAGTTTTCTCTTCACACTCAAGTGTCCAAATAAAAAATATTTTCTTTACGCAGCAGATCCAAAACAACATCGACCTGCACTAAGGATTTAAGACCGATAACCGATACGATCAAAAGGACAAATATCGCCCTGATGTATCGTGAATCTCTGGAACTGATCCTCAGCTCCAAATGTGCGACAACAACGAAAATCCATTTAAAATCAGGAGTTAAACCTTTTATTGGTCATAAAGTTTGTAACATAAGACGAGTGAGTTTATTGATCACAGCGTCAGGAAGTGACTTTAAAAAAGTCGTGTTTCCTCTTTACCTGTTTCTTCTACAAAAAGTAATCCCTTACTTTACTTAGTTACCCTCAATGGAAAAGTACTTTTTAATACTTTTTGGAGTAAATTTCATCTGAGGTTAAATCCTTGAGATCGACAGTCGACAAAAACCGTGAGGGAAAAGAAAATACGTCAACAGAGACGTTCAAGACGACGTGAAACTGTTCAGAGGTGAACCCCCCCCCCCCCGAGTGCACTTCCTCTGAGGTCATGTGACCGGCTCTGGGTCAACAGACTCAAGGTGAAGGTGACACGACGCCCGGCGGCTTTAAAGCTCCTCCGTGTGTTTTGGTCGTGTGTGTTTTGGTCGTGTGTGTTCTGGACATGTGTGTTTTGGTCGTGTGTGTTTCTGGACATGTGTGTTTTGGTCGTGTGTGTTTTGGTCGTGTGTGTTCTGGACATGTGTGTTTTGGTCATGTGTGTTTTGGTCGTGTGTGTTCTGGACATGTGTGTTCTGTGTGGACATGTGTGTTTTGGTCGTGTGTGTTTTGGTTGTGTGTGTTTTGGTCGTGTGTGTTTTGGTCGTGTGTGTTTTGGTTGTATGTGTTCTGGATGTGTGTTTTCGTCACATGTGTGTCTTGGTCATGTGTGTCTTGGACCCGGTGTGTCCGGGCACTGACCGGAGGAAGCGGTTGAGGTCGCCGTGGCGCATGTACTCGAACACCATGGCGAGCGGCTCTCCGTCCGTGCACACGCCGTAGAACCGGACGATGTGCTGATGCTGCAGGACGGTCAGAAGCTCCGCCTCCCTCTGGAAGTCCTGCCGCGTGGACTCGGTGGCGTCCTTCAGCGTCTGAGGGGGAAGCGGCCGTTAGGAAACACATCGCACACGTTCGTTCTGCCGGAGTAAAAACACCTCTGACCTTGATGGCGACGAGCATCTTGTCGCTGTCGGGGCTCAGGTTGGCGCATTCTGCCAGGTAAACCTTCCCAAACGCCCCCTCGCCGAGCTCCCACTTCAGCACGATGTCCTGACGCTTTATGTGCTGCACACCTGGAAAAAACACACACAAACAGTTAGAAACACAGACTCTGTTTCCTTTATCTGCACTGACAGATCATCTAAAAACACATCCACTCGCTCGGACCACAACAACAACGAGACAGTGTGAAGAAGTTCATTGATCATGTACGAGGAGAAGCTGAGACGCTGGTGGAGGCTCCGCCTCAATCTACAACTGACCCAGCGGAACAGGACCCTCCTGTAGGAGACTTAAGACTGAAAGACAAAACAGGGGACGGGAGGGGAGATCATGATGGGAAAAGCTGCTGCGTACAGGAGGTTTGTGGGAGAGTGGAGGTGAGGTGGAGGTGTGGTGGAGGTGAGGTGGAGGTGTGGTGGAGGTGTGCTGGAGGTGTGGTGGGAGTGAGGTGGAGGTGGTGGAGGTGTGGTGGAGGTGTGGTGGAGGTGTGGTGGAGGTGTGCTGGAGGTGGCGGTGGAGGTGTGGTGGAGGTGAGGTGGAGGTGAGGTGGAGGTGTGGTGGAGGTGTGGTGGAGGTGTGCTGGAGGTGTGCTGGAGGTGAGGTGGAGGTGTGGTGGAGGTGAGGTGGAGGTGTGGTGGAGGTGTGGTGGAGGTGTGGTGGAGGTGCGGTGGAAGTGTGGTGGAGGTGCGGTGGAGGTGTGGTGGAGTGTGGTGGAGGTGTGGTGGAGGTGAGGTGGAGGTGTGGTGGAGGTGTGGTGGAGGTGAGGTGGTGGAGGTGGAGGTGGAGGTGTGTGGAGGTGTGGTGGAGGTGTGGTGGAGGTGTGGTGGAGGTGTGGTGGAGGTGTGGTGGAGGTGAGGTGGAGGTGTGGTGGAGGTGCGGTGGAGGTGTGGTGGAGGTGTGGTGGAGGTGTGGTGGAGGTGGAGGTGCTGGAGGTGCGGTGGAAGTGTGGTGGAGGTGGTGGAGTGTGGTGGAGGTGTGGTGGAGGTGTGGTGGAGGTGCGGTGGAGGTGTGGTGGAGGTGAGGTGGAGGTGTGGTGGAGGTTGTGGTGGAGTGGGTGGGTGTGGTGGAGGTGCGGTGGAGGTGCGGTGGAAGGTGTGGTGGAGGTGTGGTGGAGGTGCGGTGGAAGTGGAGGTGGTGGAGGTGTGCTGGAGGTGTGGTGGAGGTGTGCTGGAGGTGTTGGTGGAGGTGGAGGTGTGGTGGAGGTGAGGTGTGGTGGAGGTGGTGGAGGTGGTGGAGGTGTGTGGAGGTGCGGTGGAAGGTGTGGTGGAGGTGTGCTGGAGGTGTGGTGGAGGTGGAGGTGTGGTGGAGTGTGGTGTGGTGGAGGTGTGGTGGAGGTGTGGTGGAGGTGGAGGTGGAGGTGTGTGGTTGGAGGTGAGGTGGAGGTGTGGTGGAGTGTGTGTGGAGGTGTGGTGGAGGTGGTGGAGTGTGGTGGAGGTGTGGTGGTGTGGTGGAGGTGGAGGTGGAGGTGGTGGAGGTGTGGTGGAGGTGTGGTGGAGGTGTGGTGGAGGTGTGGTGGAGGTGTGGTGGAGGGTGTGGTGGAGGTGGAGGTGAGGTGGAGGTGTGGTGGAGGTGGTGGTGGAAGGTGTGGTGGAGGTGAGGTGGAGGTGTGGTGGAGGTGAGTGGTGGAGGTGTGGTGGAGTGTGGTGGAGGTGTGGTGGAGGTGGAGGTGGTGGAGGTGGAGGTGGTGGAGGTGAGGTGGAGGTGTGGAGGTGAGGTGAGGTGGAGTGGTGGAGGTGTGGTGGAGGTGTGGTGGAGGTGAAGGTGTGGTGGAGGTGGAGGTGTGGAGGTGTGGGTGGAGGTGTGGTGGAAGGTGGTGTGGTGGAGGTGTGGTGGAGTGGTGAGGTGGAGGTGGTGGAGGTGTGGTGGAGGTGAGGTGGTGGAGGTGAGGTGGAGTGTGTGGTGGATGGTGTGTGGTGGAGGTGTGGTGGAGGTGTGGTGGAAGTGTGGTGGAGGTGGAGGTGGAGGTGGTGGTGGAGTGGTGGAGGTGGAGTGTGGTGGTGGTGGAGTGTGGTGGAGGTGGAGGTGGAGGTTGTGGTGGAGGTGTGTGAGGTGGAGGTGTGGTGGAGTGGTGAGGTGGAGGTGAGGTGGAGGTGGAGGTGTGGTGGAGGTGTGGTGGAGGTGGGGTGGAGGTGTGGTGGAGGTGTGGTGGAGGTGAGGTGGAGGTGGTGGTGGAGGTGTGGTGGAGGTGTGGTGGAGGTGAGTGGTGCTTCTCTGGTGACAGGGTCCTGCTCCTGCTCCTGAATCTCACTTCATCAGATGAACTACATTTGGGAAAAGGAAGTAGAAAGTGCAGTACCAGAACAACAGAGGTGTGTGTCAGTGTGTTTCATAAAGACAGGAGACATGTTTGTCCATCAGGTTGTAGCACCAGAGTTTATTTGCACCTGTCGACTCTGGGCAGGTTCATGTTTGTGTTTAACTGACCTGGAGCATCAGCTGTTCCTCCTGGAGCAGGTTTGTGTTGATGGGGGAAACCGGAGAAAACTCATCCAGACACGAGGAGAAACACAAACTCCACACAGAAAGGCTCAGGTGACCCGGGGACCAAACCTGGAACCTTCTTGCTGTGAGGCATGAGTGCTAAACGCTCAAATCCACAAGTGTCTCTGTCCTGTGAGTGGATCAGCTGGAGGAGCTCTCTTCCTCTTCCTCTCAGTCTTCAGTTTTTATTTTTCTGACCCCACAGACCTGGTCTCGTCTGGAGGCTCCACAGAGTCACAGAACCTTCCAGAACATCTGAGGAGAACTTTACTCTGAACTATTGTGACCAAAAGACTCATCCTGAAGGAACCAAGGACACTTGTCTCCTGTGAGGACACTTGTCTCCTGTGAGGACACCTGTCTCCTGTGTGGACACCTGTCTCCTGTGAGGACACTTGTCTCCTGTGAGGACACCTGTCTCCTGTGAGGACACTTGTCTCCTGTGAGGACACTTGTCTCCTTGTCTCCTGTGAGGACACTTGTCCTGTGTGGACACTTGTCTCCTGTGAGGACACCTGTCTCCTGTGTGGACACTGTCTCCTGTGTGGACACTTGTCTCCTGTGTGGACACTTGTCTCCTGTGTGGACACTTGTCTCCTGTGAGGACACCTGTCTCCTGTGTGGACACCTGTCTCCTGTGAGGACACTTGTCTCCTGCGTGGACACTTGTCTCCTGTGAGGACACCTGTCTCCTGTGTGGACACCTGTCTCCTGAGGACACCTGTCTCCTGCGTGGACACCTGTCTCCCTGTGTGGACACTTGTCTCCTGTGTGGACACCTGTCTCCTGTGAGGACACTTGTCTCCTGTGAGGACACTTGTCTCCTGCGAGGACACCTGTCTCCTGTGTGGACACTTGTCTCCTGTGTGGACACCTGTCTCCTGTGAGGACACCTGTCTCCTGTGTGGACACCTGTCTCCTGTGTGGACACTTGTCTCCTGTGGACTTGTCTCTGTCTCTGCGAGGACACTGTCTCCTGTGTGGACACCTGTCTCCTGTGAGGACACCTGTCTCCTGTGTGGACACTGTCTCCTGGACACTGTCCTGTGGACCTGTCTCCTGTGAGGACACTTGTCTCCTGTGTGACACTTGTCTCCTGTGACACTTGTCTCCTGGACACTTGTCTCCTGTGATGGACACTTGTCTCCTGTGAGGACACCTGTCTCCTGTGAGGACACTTGTCTCCTGCGTGGACACTTGTCTCCTGTGAGGACACTTGTCTCCTGTGAGGACACCTGTCTCCTGTGAGGACACTTGTCTCCTGTGTGGACACTTGTCTCCTGTGAGGACACTTGTCTCCTGTGAGGACACTTACACATGTCTTTGTCCTTGATGATGCCGCAGAAATACTGAGGATTCTCCACGAAACTGGACAGTCCAGAGTCTTCGTCAGAGGACGGGGGACTGCTGCCCTTCATGAAGTGAAGAGACACGGCCAGGTCGTCCTCTGTGCCCAGGACAGATGAGCCTGAGGAGACAGGGGGACAGGGGGACAGGGGGACAGGGGGACAGGGGGACAGGGGGACAGGGACAGGGGGACAGGACAAAGAACATATTTAGACGTGTGTGTCTCTGTGTGAGTGGACGGAGCTGAACTTTGTGTTTTTATTTCCCTCTTTTATCTCTAAATAAATTCCTTTTATTGGTCTCCTGTCCTGTCACTGTCTCCTGTCACTGTCTCCTGTCACTGGCACCTGTCCCTGTCTCCTGTCACTCCTGTCACTGGCACCTGTCACCTGTCTGTCCTGTCACCTGTCACTGTCCTGTCACTGTCTCCTGTCACTGTCTCCTGTCACTGTCTCCTGTCACTGGTCACTGTCACTGTCACCTGTCCCTGTCTCCTGTCACTGGCACCTGTCACTGGCACCTGTCACTGGCACCTGTCACTGTCTCCTGTCACTGTCTCCTGTCACTGTCTCCTGTCACTGGCACCTGTCACTGTCCTGTCACTGTCCTGTCACTGTCTCCTGTCACTGGCACCTGTCACTCCTGTCACTGTCTCCTGTCACTGTCCTGTCCCTGTCTCCTGTCACTGTCTCCTGTCACTGTCTCCTGTCCTGTCACTGCACCTGTCACTGTCCTGTCACTGTCTCCTGTCACTGTCTCCTGTCACTGGCACCTGTCCCTGTCTCCTGTCACTGTCACTGTCTCCTGTCCCTGTTCCTGTCTCCTGTCACTGTCTCCTGTCACTGTCTCCTGTCCCTGTCTCCTGTCACTGTCTCCTGTCACTGTCTCCTGTCCCTGTCTCCTGTCACTGGCACCTGTCACTGTCACCTGTCTGTCTCCTGTCCCTGTCTCCTGTCACTGTCACTGTCACCTGTCACTGGCACCTGTCACTGTCTCCTGTCACTGGCACCTGTCACTGGCACCTGTCACTGGCACCTGTCACTGTCCTGTCACTGTCCTGTCCTGTCACTGTCTCCTGTCTCCTGTCACTGTCTCCTGTCACTGTCACTGTCACTGTCACCTGTCACTGTCTCCTGTCACTGGCACCTGTCACTGGCACCTGTCACTGTCTCCTGTCACTGTCTCCTGTCACTGTCTCCTGTCACTGTCTCCTGTCACTGTCTCCTGTCACTGTCACTGTCTCCTGTCACTGTCTCCTGTCACTGTCTCCTGTCACTGGCACCTGTCACTGGCACCTGTCACTGTCTCCTGTCACTGTCTCCTGTCACTGTCTCCTGTCACTGTCTCCTGTCCCTGTCTCCTGTCCTGTCACCTGTCACTGTCTGTCCTGTCACTGTCTCCTGTCACTGGCACCTGTCACTGTCTCCTGTCACTGGCACCTGTCACTGTCTCCTGTCACTGTCTCCTGTCACTGGCACCTCCTGTCCTGTCTCCTGTCACTGGCACCTGTCACTGTCTCCTGTCACTGTCTCCTGTCACTGTCACCTGTCCCTGTCTCCTGTCACTGGCACCTGTCACCTGTCACTGTCTCCTGTCACTGTCTCCTGTCACTGGCACCTGTCACTGGCACCTGTCACTGGCACCTGTCACTGTCTCCTGTCCTGTCTCCTGTCACTGGCACCTGTCACTGTCTCCTGTCACTGTCTCCTGTCACTGTCTCCTGTCCCTGTCTCCTGTCACTGTCTCCTGTCACTGTCTCCTGTCCCTGTCCTGTCACTGTCACTGGCACCTGTCACTGGCACCTGTCACTGTCTCCTGTCCCTGTCTCCTGTCACTGGCACCTGTCACTGGCACCTGTCACTGTCTCCTGTCACTGTCCTGTCCCTGTCTCCTGTCTGTCCTGTCACTGGCACTGTCACTGCACCTGTCACTGTCTCCTGTCACTGTCTCCTGTCCCTGTCTCCTGTCACTGGCACCTGTCCCTGTCTCCTGTCCCTGCAGGCCTGATGAGCCTCGTTTGCCTGGAGCTTGTGGAGACTCGAGTTGTTGTTCTGTCAGATGTGGTGAGGACGAGTGTGGCAGAGTGGTTTGCCATTAAAAGCCCCAAGAGCCGCGCCCACTCAACACCGACCGCACCCCCCCCCCCCCCCCTCATCTGCCCCCCCCATCTGCCCCCCCCCCCCCCCCCGGGGCCCGAGTCAAACAACGGAACAACAACAAGAGACCAGGAGCTCATCAGCACCGGACGGATGGACAGAGAGACAGACAGAGGGACAGAGACAGAGGGACAGACAGATGGACAAAGGGACAGAGGGACAGAGGGACAGATGGACAGAGGGACAGAGGGACAGATGGACAGAGGGACAGAGGGACAGAGGGACAGAGGGACAGATGGACAGAACACTCAGAGCTCAGGCACTTAGAGACGCAGCTGTAAACACACAAACACCGAACATAAATCACCAAGAAACAATCACCAACTAGAGAACGAGGGAACGAGGGAACGAGGGAGAGGGAGGAGGGAGAGAGAAATGAAACATCCTCCATATGGCAACGAGGGAATGAAGGAATGAGGGAGGAGAAGAGAGAGGAGGAAAAAAAGGAGAGAGGAAGAGAAGAGAGAAACATCCACCATATGGCAACCAGGGAGCGAGGGAGGAGGAGAGGAAGAGGAGGAGAGGAAGAGAGGAGGAGAGGAGGAGGAGGAGGAGGAGAGGAAGAGGAGGAGGAGGAGGAGGAGAGAGAAGAGGAGGAGGAGGAGAGGAGAGAGAGGAGGAGCGTCTCTCGTCTCTGGAGCCTCGGGGGAAAGATTCTGACTCAAACATCACAGTTTAGATTCTTCAGGCACTTTTCATCAGACTCACCCCCCCCCATCCTCCTCCTCCTCCTCCTCCCTCCATCCTCCATCCTCCATCCCTCCATCCTCCATCCTCCATCCTCCATCCTCCATCCTCCATCCTCCATCCCCAGAGAAGAGATCTGAACTATCCACACTCTTCACACTAAACGTCTTTCACTCAGCAGCAGCTCAGGCCCAAACCTCCAAACCTCCAAACCTCCAAACCTCCAGAGCTGCAGAGTTGCTCCTCACACTTCTGCACTTTTCTCTTTTGAACATTTTAAAACTTGTATCAGGTTTTTCATCTTGTTTTCAGATTTATTCTCTTCTGACTCGTCTAAATTGGTTGTATCGTCTGAAAAATTGTGGCAGATTTTTCTTCCACGACTCGAATCATCAGAAACTACAATCCATTTACCAAACTGCAAGAAACTAAATCCAGACAAGTTCAGACGACGCGAATTAAGAAAGTTTGATCATGATTTGAGTAAATGTCGCTTGAAAAGTGAAATGAAGAAAAATGTGCAGCTCAAATGTCTTTTTTTTTTTAAGTTCGAAGACAAAGTTGAGACTCTGGTCGTCTCGTTATGGTTCTAGATTTGTCTGGTGTGAGTTTTGTTTGTTTGTCCTAAAGCCACAGGAGAAACCCAAACAGGAGAAACACAAACAGGAGAAACACAAACAGGAGAAACACAAACAGGAGAAACACAAACAGGAGAAACACAAACAGGAGAAACACAAACAGGAGAAACACAAACAGGAGAAACACAAACAGGAGAAACACAAACAGGAGAAACACAAACAGGAGAAACACAAACAGGAGAAACACAAACAGGAGAAACACAAACAGGAGAAACAGGAGAAACACAAACAAACACAAACAGGAGAAACACAAACAGGAGAAACACAAACAGGAGAAACACAAACAGGAGAAACACAAACAGGAGAAACACAAACAGGAGTCCTGCTTGAGACACTGCGGAGAAAACGTTTTAACGGCTCAATTTTCAAATCAAATAGTCCTAAAAAACATACAACACATGCAGACACAAATTACAAACTTCTGAAGCAAAAGATGTTCATTTTGTCTTCTTATATACTTTAACTTCTTGGGTTCTTTTTAAAGACAATGCAGTAAAGTGTGTTTACCTTGTTGACATGTTTCGGCTGCTGCATCTTCAGAACTGAACTTCAGTTCTGAAGATGCTTGCAAGCAAGGTAAACACACTTTACTGCATTGTCTTTAAAAAGAACCCAAGAAGTTAAAATTACAAACTTCTGGTCATTTTCAAGTCTTTTGAACCATTTCACTTTTGTTTCTGCTTCTGATTTTGTCACATTTTAGTTTTGGGATTTGGACGTCGTCATTGTTGTGGTTGTTGGATCCAAACAGCGGAAAACGACTCGAGAAATGTGTTTGTGAACTTCATAAATGTAAAAGTGAATCAGATGTGTGTGACTCAAACCTCTGTTCAAACTGTTTCTCTTCCCAGCGGAATTGAAAAATAGTGAAAGGTGAAGGTGATGGGCAGGATTGATCCACAGGAAGAACCAAAAAGGAAACATTTGTCTGACTAAGAAATCATCCTGAGTTTACAGAGAACATTTTGTCTGTGGAGCCACGACAAAACAAAATCCTGATCCTTCGTTCAACCTCGATTATGAATTTAAAAAGTCGACGCCAAAGTGAAAGTCTCCAACTGTTCACCAAGAAACACCTTCCACTGCAAAGACCAAGACGTGATGTTTGTGTAAAACCACAAGAACAAGAAAGTGCAGCTCAGTCTGTTTGTCTTCTGCTCCTCTACATTAACAAACAGGATTTGTGTGTGTGTGTGTGTGTGTGTGTGTGTTGTGTGTGTGTGTGTGTGTGTGTGTGTGTGTGTGTGTTTGTGTGTGTGTGTGTGTGTGTGTGTGTGTGTGTGTGTGTGTGACTTACGGTGAATCCCAAACTTGGGGTGGTGTCCACATTTGTTCCAAACCACAAGAACGAGGAGAACGAAGGAGAAAGCGAAAAGAGACAAACCCACCACCACCGAGACCTGCACACAAACACACACACACACACACACACACACACACACACACACACACACACACACACACACACACACACACACACACACACACACACACACACACACACACACACACACACACACACACACACACACACACACACACACACACACACACACACACACACACACACACACACACACACACACACACACACACACACACACACACACACACACACACACACACACACACACACACACACACACACACACACACACACACACACACACACACACACACACACACACACACACACACACACACACACACACACACACACACACACACACACACACACACACACACACACACACACACACACACACACACACACACACACACACACACACACACACACACACACACACACACACACACACACACACACACACACACACACACACACACACACACACACACACACACACACACACACACACACACACACACACACACACACACACACACAACACACACAACACACAACACACACACAAACACACACACACAACACACACACACACACACACACACACAAAACACAAAAGTATTTGAAGTATTTGAAGTACTGTTTTACTCTGAAATACAGTAATAAACAAAAAGGCCGTGTTTTTTTTCTTGTTTGTTTGTTTCTCCTCTGTGAGCTTCAGGTCATCATGTTCTAACACTGATCCCTGCTCCAAAACCCACCTGGAAAACCTTGAATCACCGTCTGTCTTAAGGTTCGTTCACACCAAAGCGTCAAAAAACACCTTGACGTCTCTTTTTGGAGCCTTTGCATTTGAGTTCAGACGCCCCCGACGCTCGACTTTGACGCCGTGGACCAACGGGACAAAAATACTTGATGCGCGTCCGTTGCCCTGGAAACAAGAGCCCAGTCCTGGACTTTTCCCGAAACAATGTCAGACCAGACTGAGACTTTAGTGTTTTTATGACATAAAACATCAGCGGAGGAAATCGACTCGACGACTGGAGCCAGTTTATATTTATACTCCACTAATGACACTGGATCAGTCCTGGTCTAGTCCCAGTCTAGTCCTGGTCTAGTCCTGGTCTAGTCCTTGTTTAGTCCTGGTCTGGTCCTGGTTTAGTCCTGGTGATCGTCTCGGTGTTTGTGGTGTATATATTTATTCTCTGTTCATGTTTGTGGTTCTGGTTCTGGGGTTTTTCTTCCTGATAATAACGTCGCTGTGTCTCTGGATACTCGTCCCTGATTGGTCGACGCAGCGAGACTGACGCGAAAAGTTCAGCATTTTCAACTTCTGACCCTGACGCCTTGGACGCGCGTCTAGAGCGTCGACGCCAAAATGCTCAAGACTCGCCGCATTGACGCCGAAGACGCGCCGCAAAAACGCCGGACGCTGTAGTCGCGTCCACATGGACTTTATGTAGAAACTGGACACTTTGACGCTTTGGTGTGAACGAACCTTAAGTCTCCGTTTATACGAGGAGGATCTGAACAGAAGAGACAAAAGTGTCGTCTCGTCTTCACTTTTTGTTCAGTGTTTAGTCGAGTGTTTTCAGTGTTTTAAATCTGCTGCACACAGCGACACAAAAGTGTGTGAATTGGATCGTGTGTGTTTGTTCTTAAAACAAGAGCGTCTTTGGACACACAGCAGATTCTTCTGTTCACTGATCGTGTCTCTGCAGGTTCGAGACGTTTGTTGGGAGCCTCCTGTAAATTTATAAGAACTGACACAGTTTTTTCTTGGTTGGAGCGACGACACTTGAGCTTTTCTCTCCACATCCCGACACAAAAGGGAAATGTGAAGTTTCAGTGGAGCAGGAGCAGTGCACACGGCCTGGTTTAGTCCTGGTTTAGTCCTGGTTTAGACCTGGTTTAGTCCTGGTTTAGTCCTGGTTTAGTCCTGGTTTAGACCTGGTTTAGTCCTGGTTTAGTCCTGGTTTAGACCTGGTTTAGTCCTGGTTTAGACCTGGTTTAGACCTGGTTTAGACCTGGTTTTTCTTTTTCTGACTGAATACTCATGATATCTGGAAGCACTCGTCCTAACTCTTCTCCTGAAGGTTCTTGAAGGCCACAGAGGAACAGAGGAACAGAGGAACGTACCATAAACACTCGGCTCTCCAGGTTCTCCGTCACAGCCTGCACCGTCTTGTTGGTGGGAGCTGGAGAACACAGAAGGTCAGAGAGTGAGATCCAGAGCAGAAGACACCAGAACCATGATGGAGCAAAAGATGGAGGACCTACTTGGGACGACATCAGGGACTAGCATGTGACACAGACAAAAACACACATTAAAACTGAGAGAACATCTCTGACCCACAGTGTCCTACAGAAGATCATGAGACGTTTACAGAGAAGCTTCTAGAGAAGAACTCAGTAACTTTTGTGTATTTTAAGATAATAAATGAAACCAACGGGGAAAAAGACTCAACACATTTGCCACGTTCACATGAGAGATTTAACTCTGAAGAAAAAGAATAAAACTAAGAAACTAAAACCATGTGAACACTTCATTCTTCTGGATTAAACTGAACAGTGACGTAAGAGTTTGTTTTGTTCTGATGTTAAATGTGACTGAGTTTGTTTCCTGGATCCTGTTTGTGGTTTGTTGTTGTTAAAATGCTGCTGGTGCTTCAGGCTCGTCGTGTCGTCCTCCTGGTCCTGGTCCTGGTCCTGGTCCTGATCCTGGTCCTGGTCCTGGTCCTGGTCCTGGTCCTGGTCCTGGTCCTGGTCCAGTTCTGTCTCGGGACTTTGATCCACGTCTCTTTGGATTTGTGAGCTGGATGTGGGAGTGGGTTGAGGTAGAGCCGCCTCACACTCAGGCCCCGTTCACACTAGTGTGTATGTGAGTGGTGTTGTTGTGTGTACAGTGTTCGTTCGATGAAATTTCATTAATCGATCGTTGGGAGAATTAACGATCGATTATCGATTGAATCATTAACGTTTTTCTATTAAAATGATCATTATTATTATTACTATCTGCACTAATCTGCATCAATAAATTCAACTTTACGACATATAAACATAACGACTCTAGATCCACATCAGCTGTTTGACATTATAATGTGTTTAATTCAGTTTTGTTCAAATCTCACAGAAACAAAACTTAAAACCACATCACTAATTTACATAAACTAAGTGAAGATAAAACTCCAGCTCTTGTGTCGCTGATGTGGTTCAACTTGTGTTGGATTAAAAGACATGACTCAGGTGAATACAGGTCAGTGTGACCAGATTTGTGTTTGTCAAAACCAGGACAGCGTACGGGGGGAGGGGGGCGGGGCCTCGTCATCCACATTGAGCGACTCTCACCTGGAAAAACTTTTTCCCACTGGACACAGAAACATATGTGCTGCTTTATCCACTGTGCACATGGACTCACACTTGTCCCAACGCAACGGAAAGTGTGGAATTTCTTCTACAAATCCTGGTTAAATCCACATTTGTGCTTCGGTTCGTTACAGACTGACCCACTGTTTGTGTCTCGCTCCTTCTGAGTCACAGACGCTCAGTTTAACGATTCAATGAAAGAAAATGAAAACCTGAACATTTGCATCATTTTATTAAAAAAAAAAAAAAATGGACGGCCAGAACAGGACATGGAAAATGGACATGTCCAGGGAAAAACGGACGTTTGGTCGCCCGACACGACACACAGCGACCTACATTCAGTTTGTCAATAAAAAATGAATGTAATCGACGAAATTCTTAATGATCAATTATCGATTAATTGACTAATCCTGCCCATCCCTAATTCGTTCACATTAATCTTATGGAAAACGTTTCCAGAGTCTGAACGATCTGGAGCCTCCAGCTCCACGAGTTCATGTTGGTCCAGATGTGACGGGGACTGTGGGACTCCTGAAAACTCTGATACTCTGATGTAGGAGCTGGAGTCTCGTCCTGATTGGACACGACACTGTGACTCGCTCCTTCTGATTCTCTGGGTTTGTGACGTCGTCATGTGACGATAAAACAGTTTAAACAAACCAGAGACAAACAGGAAACAGCAGAGATACAAACACTCGCTCGTACACGACTGACATCTTCCTCGGCTCGAAATCGGCTGCTGCAACTTCCTGCCGTTTCAGGCGGTTTCACGTTAAAGAGCGAAGTATCGTTCTACAGGTCTGTGTGCACCACCTGCACACGTCTAATGTGTGAAAAGTTTCACATGAACCAACACGACGGAATCACAGAACAGACTGAGCATCAGCAGAACACCCCTCTGACACAGAGAGAACACCCCTCTGACACAGAGAGAACACCCCTCTGACACAGAGAGAACACCCCTCTGACACAGAGAGAACACCCCTCTGTCACACAGAGAGAACACCCCTCTGTCACACAGAGAGAACACCCCTCTGACAGAGAGAGAACACCCCTCTGTCACACAGAGAGAACACCCTCTGACACAACAGAGAGAGAACACCCCTCTGTCACACAGAGAGAACACCCCTCTGTACACACAGAGAGAACACCCCTCTGTCACACAGAGAGAACACCCCTCTGTCACAGAGAGAACACCCCTCTGACACAGAGAGAGAACACCCCTCTGACACAGAGAGAACACCCCTCTGTCACACAGAGAGAACACCCCTCTGACACAGAGAGAACACCCCTCTGTCACACAGAGAGAACACCCTCTGACACACAGAGAGAACACCCCTCTGACACACAGAGAGAACACCCCTCTGACACAGAGAGAACACCCCTCTGTCACAGAGAGAACACCCCTCTGACACAGAGAGAACACCCCTCTGTCACACAGAGAGAACACCCCTCTGTCACAGAGAGAACACCCCTCTGACACACAGAGAGAACACCCCTCTGACACAGAGAGAGAACACCCCTCTGACACAGAGAGAACACCCCTCTGTCACACAGAGACACACAGAGAGAACACCCCTCTGACACAGAGAGAGAACACCCCTCTGTCACACAGAGAGAACACCCTCTGACACAGAGAGAACACCCCTCTGTCACACAGAGAGAGAACACCCCTCTGACACAGAGAGAACACCCCTCTGTCACACAGAGAGAACACCCCTCTGACACAGAGAGAACACCCCTCTGTCACACAGAGAGAACACCCCTCTGACACAGAGAGAAACACCCCTCTGACACAGAGAGAGAACACCCCTCTGTCACACAGAGAGAACACCCCTCTGACACAGAGAGAACACCCTCTGACACAGAGAGAACACCCCTCTGTCACAGAGAGAAACACCCCTCTGACACAGAGAGAACACCCCTCTGACACAGAGAGAGAACACCCCTCTGTCACACAGAGAGAACACCCCTCTGTCACAGAGAGAACACCCCTCTGTCACAGAGAGAGAGAGAACACCCCTCTGTCACACAGAGAGAACACCCTCTGTCACACAGAGAGAACACCCCTCTGACACAGAGAGAACACCCCTCTGTCACACAGAGAGAGAACACCCCTCTGACACAGAGAGAACACCCCTCTGTCACACAGAGAGAACACCCCTCTGTCACAGAGAGAACACCCCTCTGTCACACAGAGAGAACACCCCTCTGTCACACAGAGAGAACACCCCTCTGTCACAGAGAGAACACCCCTCTGTCACAGAGAGAACACCCCTCTGTCACACAGAGAGAACACCCCTCTGTCACACAGAGAGAACACCCCTCTGACACAGAGAGAACACCCCTCTGTCACACAGAGAGAACACCCCTCTGACACAGAGAGAGAACACCCCTCTGTCACAGAGAGAACACCCCTCTGACACAGAGAGAACACCCCTCTGTCACACAGAGAGAACACCCCTCTGTCACAGAGAGAGAACACCCCTCTGACACAGAGAGAACACCCCTCTGTCACACAGAGAGAACACCCCTCTGACACAGAGAGAACACCCCTCTGTCACAGAGAGAACACCCCTCTGTCACAGAGAGAGAACACCCCTCTGACACAGAGAGAACACCCCTCTGTCACACAGAGAGAACACCCCTCTGACACAGAGAGAACACCCTCTGTCACAGAGAGAACACCCCTCTGACACAGAGAGAAACACCCCTCTGTCACAGAGAGAGAACACCCCTCTGACACAGAGAGAACACCCCTCTGACACAGAGAGAACACCCCTCTGTCACAGGGAGAACACTCATATTCCACTGAGTCCAACACAAACTGAACCACATCAGACACAAGAAACAACTGTTTTTATCACACATTAGTTTATGTAAATGAGTCATGTGATTTTACGTTTGTGTAAAACAAACAAATGTGTCAAAGTCTGTGGAGAGAAAAGGACTGATAAATCCTGGTTTAATCTTGGTTTTAAACCTGATTTATTCCTGATTTTAGTCCTATTTAGTCCTGGTTTAGACCTGGGTTAATCCGGATATAGTCCTGGTTTAGCTCAGGTTTAGTTCTGGTTTAGTCCTAGTTTATTCCTGGATTTAGTTTTGATTTTAGTCCTGGTTTAGACCTAATTTAACTCCAAGGAGAATATTTTACTTCAGAATCAAACCCTCATGTAAACGTGGTCTGTGTTGAGTCTGAAGTTCTGGTGTGAGGTTCTGGTGTGAGGTTCTGGTGTGAGGTTCTGGTGTGAGGTTCTGGTGTGAGGTTCTGGTGTGAGGTTCTGGTGTGAGGTTTCTGGTGTGAGGTTCTGGTGTGAGGTTCTGGTGTGAGGTTCTGGTGTGAGGTTCTGGTGTGAGGTTCTGGTGTGAGGTTCTGGTGTGAGGTTCTGTGAGGTTCTGGTGTGAGGTTCTGGTGTGAGGTTTTGGTGTGAGGTTCTGGTGTGAGGTTTTGGTGTGAGGTTCTGGTGTGAGGTTCTGGTGTGAGGTTTTGGTGTGAGGTTCTGGTGTGAGGTTCTGGTGTGAGGTTTTGGTGTGAGGTTCTGGTGTGAGGTTTTGGTGTGAGGTTCTGGTGTGAGGTTCTGGTGTGAGGTGTGAGGTTGTGAGGTTTGTGTGAGGTTCTGGTGTGAGGTTCTGGTGTGAGGTTCTGGTGTGAGGTTCTGGTGTGAGGTTTTGGTGTGAGGTTCTGGTGTGAGGTTTTTGGTGTGAGGTTTTGGTGTGAGGTTCTGGTGTGAGGTTTTGGTGTGAGGTTCTGGTGTGAGGTTCTGGTGTGAGGTTCTGGTGTGAGGTTCTGGTTGGTACCTGGGATGATGCCCTCGGGGTCGAACGGGTCGAAGGGGTTGTCCATGAAGCTGCCGGTGGCGTTGGCCTGGTCGCGGCCCAGGCGGTTGTGGGCTCGCAGGGTGTAGACGCCGTTGTTGATGTGCGTGGGTTTGTTGAGGTAGAGGCAGCCGTGCTTCTCGGAGCCGTCGCTGGAGTCGCTGATGATCTCGGTGTAGGTGAAGCGCGTCTCCTGCAGGGCGGCGCCGTTGTACAGCCAGCTGATGCTCGGCTCCGGGTTCCCGTCCACCGCGAACGGAAAACACCAGTGATGCATCGGCTCGGCGTCCTTCAGGAACAAGATCCGAGCTGGAACTGAACACACGAGGACGAGGTCAGGCAAGTCCAGGTTTAGACCTGGTTTAGTCCTGGTTTAGGTCTGGTTTAGTGCAAGTTTAGTCCTGGTTTAGTCCTGGTTTAGTCCGGTTGGACCTGAATTTGGATCTTGATTTTCCAAACGTGACTTTTAGGAACTCTGACAATTATTTAAAAAAAAAAAAAGTTCATATTGTAAAATGTCAGAAGTGTAGTGTGTGTAATTGTGTGTATAGTGTGTGTTTGTGTATGTGTGTATAGTGTGTGTGTGTATAGTGTGTGTGTGTATGTGTTGTGTGTGTGTATAGTGTTGTGTGTGTATAGTGTTGTGTGTGTATAGTGTTGTGTGTGTATAGTGTTGTGTGTATAGTGTTGTGTGTGTGTTGTGTATAGTGTGTTTGTGTGTATAGTGTTGTGTGTGTATGTGTGTGTGTATAGTATGTGTGTTGTGTGTGTATAGTGTTGTGTGTGTATAGTGTTGTGTGTATAGTGTGTGTGTGTATAGTGTTGTGTGTGTATAGTGTTGTGTGTATAGTGTTGTGTGTGTATAGTGTGTGTGTGTGTATAGTGTTGTGTGTGTATAGTGTTGTGTGTGTATAGTGTGTGTGTGTGTATAGTGTTGTGTGTGTGTGTGTATAGTGTTGTGTGTATAGTGTTGTGTGTATAGTGTTGTGTGTGTATAGTGTTGTGTGTATAGTGTTGTGTGTATAGTGTTGTGTGTGTATAGTGTTGTGTTGTGTGTATAGTGTTGTGTGTATTGTGTTGTGTGTATAGTGTAGTGTGTGTGTATAGTGTTGTGTGTGTATAGTGTGTTGTGTGTGTATAGTGTTGTGTGTATAGTGTGTGTGTGTGTATAGTGTTGTGTGTATAGTGTTGTGTGTATAGTGTTGTGTGTATAGTGTTGTGTGTGTATAGTGTGTTGTGTGTATAGTGTTGTGTGTATAGTGTGTGTGTGTGTGTATAGTGTGTGTGTGTTATAGTGTATGTGTGTGTGTATAGTGTTGTGTGTGTATAGTGTGTGTGTATAGTGTTGTGTGTGTAATAGTGTTGTGTTGTGTGTATAGTGTTGTGTGTATAGTGTTGTGTGTGTATAGTGTTGTGTGTATAGTGTGTTGTGTTGTGTGTATAGTGTTGTGTGTATAGTGTGTGTGTGTATAGTGTTGTGTGTATAGTGTTGTGTGTGTGTGTATAGTGTTGTGTGTGTATATGTGTGTTGTGTGTGTATAGTGTGTGTGTGTGTATGTGTGTGTGTATAGTGTGTGTGTGTTAGTGTTGTGTGTATAGTGTTGTGTGTTGTGTGTGTATAGTGTTGTGTGTATAGTGTTGTGTGTGTATAGTGTTGTGTGTATAGTGTGTGTGTGTATAGTGTTGTGTGTATAGTGTTGTGTGTGTGTATAGTGTTGTGTGTGTATAGTGTGTGTGTGTGTATAGTGTTGTGTGTATAGTGTGTGTGTGTGTGTATAGTGTTGTGTGTATAGTGTTGTGTGTATAGTGTTGTGTGTGTATAGTGTTGTGTGTGTATAGTGTTGTGTGTACAGTGTTGTGTGTATAGTATTGTGTTGTGTGTATAGTGTTGTGTTGTGTGTATAGTGTTGTGTTGTGTGTATAGTGTTGTGTGTATAGTGTTGTGTGTATAGTGTTGTGTGTGTATGTAGTGTGTTGTGTGTGTATAGTGTGTGTGTGTGTATATTGTGTGTATGTGTTGTGTGTATAGTAGTGTTGTGTGTATAGTGTGTGTGTGTATAGTGTTGTGTGTATAGTGTGTGTGTGTGTATAGTGTTGTGTGTATAGTGTTGTGTGTATAGTGTTGTGTGTATAGTGTGTGTGTGTGTATAGTGTTGTGTGTGTATAGTGTGTGTGTATAGTGTTGTGTTGTGTGTGTGTGTGTATAGTGTTGTGTGTGTATATAGTGTTGTGTGTGTATAGTGTTGTGTGTGTATAGTGTTGTGTGTATAGTGTTGTGTGTATAGTGTTGTGTGTATAGTGTGTGTGTGTATAGTGTTGTGTGTATAGTGTTGTGTGTGTATAGTGTTGTGTGTAGTGTTGTGTGTGTATAGTGTTGTGTGTATAGTGTTGTGTGTGTATAGTGTTGTGTGTGTATAGTGTTGTGTGTATAGTGTGTGTGTGTTGTGTGTATAGTGTTGTTGTGTGTATAGTGTTGTGTGTAGTGTTGTGTGTATAGTGTTGTGTGTATAGTGTTGTGTGTATAGTGTTGTGTGTATAGTGTGTTGTGTGTATAGTGTTTGTGTGTGTATAGTGTTGTGTGTGTATAGTGTTGTGTGTGTATAGTGTTGTGTGTGTATAGTGTTGTGTGTAGTGTGTGTTGTGTGTAGTGTAGTGTGTGTGTGTGTGTATAGTGTTGTGTTGTGTGTATAGTGTATAGTGTGTGTGTGTGTATAGTGTGTTGTGTGTGTTGTGTGTATAGTGTGTTGTGTGTATAGTGTGTGTTGTGTGTATAGTGTTGTGTGTATAGTGTGTGTGTGTGTGTGTATAGTGTGTGTGTGTGTGTATAGTGTTGTGTGTGTATAGTGTGTTGTGTGTGTATAGTGTGTGTGTTGTGTGTATAGTGTGTGTGTGTGTGTATAGTGTGTGTGTGTATAGTGTTGTGTGTATAGTGTTGTGTGTATGTGTGTGTGTGTATAGTGTTGTGTGTTATAGTGTGTAGTGTGTGTGTGTATAGTGTTGTGTGTATAGTGTGTGTGTATAGTGTGTGTGTTGTGTGTATAGTGTTGTGTGTGTGTGTGTGTGTAGTGTTGTGTGTATAGTGTGTGTATATGTGTGTGTGTATAGTGTTGTGTGTATAGTGTTGTGTGTGTATGTGTGTGTGTGTATAGTGTTGTGTGTATAGTGTTGTGTGTGTGTGTATAGTGTTGTGTGTATAGTGTTGTGTGTATAGTGTTGTGTTTGTGTGTATAGTGTTGTGTGTGTATAGTGTAGTGTGTGTGTATAGTGTTGTGTGTATAGTGTTGTGTGTGTATAGTGTTGTGTGTGTATAGTGTTGTGTGTGTATAGTGTTGTGTGTGTATAGTGTTGTGTTGTGTGTATAGTGTTGTGTGTGTGTATAGTGTTGTGTGTGTATAGTGTTGTGTGTATAGTGTTGTGTGTATATGTGTGTGTGTGTGTGTATAGTGTGTGTGTGTGTGTATAGTGTGTGTGTGTATAGTGTTGTGTGTGTATAGTGCTGTGTGTTGTGTGTATAGTGTTGTGTGTGTATAGTGTTGTGTGTGTTAGTGTTGTGTGTATAGTGTTGTGTGTGTGTAGTGTGTGTGTGTAGTTAGTGTGTTTGTGTGTATAGTGTGTGTGTATAGTGTTGTGTGTATATGTGTGTTGTGTGTATAGTGTTGTGTGTATAGTGTTGTGTGTATAGTGTTGTGTGTGTATAGTGTTGTGTGTATAGTGTTGTGTGTATAGTGTTGTGTGTATAGTGTGTGTGTGTATAGTGTTGTGTGTATGTGTATGTGTGTGTGTATAGTGTGTGTGTTGTGTGTGTATAGTGTTGTGTGTATAGTGTTGTGTGTATAGTGTGTGTGTGTGTGTATAGTGTGTTGTGTGTATAGTGTTGTTGTGTGTATAGTGCTGTGTGTGTGTGTATAGTGTTGTGTGTGTATAGTGTGTGTGTGTATAGTGTGTGTGTGTGTATAGTGTGTGTGTGTGTATAGTGTGTTGTGTGTGTGTGTGTGTGTATAGTGTTGTGTGTATAGTGTTGTGTGTATAGTGTTGTGTGTATAGTGTTGTGTGTATAGTGTGTGTGTGTATAGTGTTGTTGTGTGTATAGTGTTGTGTGTGTATAGTGTTGTGTGTATAGTGTTGTGTGTATAGTGTTGTGTGTATAGTGTTGTGTGTGTATAGTGTTGTGTGTATAGTGTTGTGTGTGTATAGTGTCAGAGTTTCCGTTCTGTTGCAGATGGAGTCGACCCTGTGACCTGCTCATGAATTATAGACGGGGTGTGGGTCTCCGGGACGACCACGCGCCTACCTGGAAACCCCCCCCTCCCCTCCCGCCCTCCTCGCCAACGCCACCGCCAACGCCAACGCCACCCCCACCCCCTCCAACCCTCCAACCCTCCCGCGCCCGGAAACAGACCGTGGACACCCTGACCCTCTCGCTCTTAACCCCCGACCCCTCGAGTCTGAAGATGAACGACTCCAAAACAAACAAGTGCACGAGGCTAATGGTGCGTTCGACTGTCCGCCCGACTCGGAGGTTCGAGGACGTTACCGAGCGACACACACACGGACACGCCCCTTTTCCTCGACGACGGACCTCGTTTTACCGCGACACTTTACTGCGTCTGTTTTAGTGTCTGTGAATAGTCGATGTTGCTGATGTTCTAACACGACACCGACACTTTCATTTCACCAACTGAATCATCCTGTTTGTGTTTAATTCTTCTGTTTGTGTTTAATTCTTCTGTTTGTGTTTAATTCTTCTGTTTGTGTTTAATTCTTCTGTTTGTGTTTAATTCTTCTGTTTGTGTTTAATTCTTCTGTTTGTGTTTAATTCTTCTGGAGGTTTTGTTGTTGAAGCTCAGTTTTATTTTGGGGCCTGGTTTTCGACCGATACTAAAACAACAACAGTTTTCGAGTTTCGGCTCCATGTTTTTCTCTGAGTCGGACAAGAAACTTAATAAAACGGTTGAGACATAAACGTGTCGTCACATCCGAGATTCGAGTGGGACACGGACGGATAAACGAACGTAAACTCCAATGTTTTCTATTCGATATTGACTCATTTTAGAAAAGTTACACAGTGTGACTTTAAACACAAACAGTGTGTGGTTAATTGTTACACAAAAGTCGCCACAAAAAGAAAACCAAAAAAAACACTAGTTCAAAATTACGAGGTGTTTGGAAGAAACATGGACCAGAGAATCGACTTATCACCGATTTATCGAAAAATAGATATCAAATGGACCAGTACTGACTGAACCAATAATCATCCTTCAAACCTTTCGATACGGGAGCCGATATCCGATACCAGTGGACCATCAGGGCAAATA